GAAAGGGTAGTTAGAAACGGCTACAACTTTCAGATTTTTTTTCAGAACAGAGAGAGACAAATGGCCATCTCTCGGCATGGTCTGTTTGCAGTGCTTTTGAATAAAAATGAAGACACAACCATGGTATAATAGCTAGAACATTGTTCTAAGAATAGGGAGACTTGGATTACAATCCCCCTGAGGTATGAAGCTCTTAGGTGGACCCTAACTGTCCTCGATTTGTAGTTTAACCTTGTGGATGTGCAGATAAAAGACAAGATTCCTTGAATGCTTTCCTAAGTAAACAAACAGTAGTAAACAATTAGGCAAATTCCACACCTATTTTTTTTTCTGTGTGTCTTCCAAACCAGGCAGTGAAGTTACACCAGAGCTGGAGGGAAAAAAAATATAATTCCCAAACTCTCAACCTGAAAGCCAATTAGTTGGTAGAGGTTTTCTGGGTGTGTTTCTGTAGCAAGGGTTGGAATTTTGACACACACACCCTCTTGAGACTAGAGATGGGCATGAACCTCAGTTTGGAGGTTGGTGCTGGTCCGTATGCGTGGCACTACAGGTGTCAGATGTTTCCTTCCCCGGTCTCCCTGGCTGGATCCCCCACTCGCCAGCCTGTGCATGCTCTCCTCCTCCTCTCTGGCCATTCTACCAGTCCCCGGCAGGAGCACAGGCTTCCCACCCCACCTCCTTGGATGACCACCCAGTCAGACAAGGAGGCTGGACAGGCAAACCTGTACTCCTGCTGGTTGAACCGCTGAAAAGGAAGAGGCAAAGAGCGGGCTTGACTGGGGAGTGGGTTCTTAGTCGGCAAGGATGGGGAAGGGAACACCTGGCATATGTGGTGCCGTGTGTACAAACCGGCATGCCCCTCCGAACAAAAGTTCATGCCCATTTCTACATGAGACCTACATCTGCCAAACCCTTGCCGCTGAGACACTAGAGGCCCAGCCTTGAGAAGACCTGGATCGTCTCTCAAAGACACAAATCTTTGGTCTACAGTTTTCCCATGAAGGAAGTGTGCTTAGCCCAAGGAACTGGATTTTATGCACAAAAGCTTGCAACTTTTACTTTTTTTTAGTGGTCCAGTAAAAGGCATCGCCTGCTCTTGCATTACAGTGATGCCTCGCTTATCACCGTTAATTCGTTCCAGCAAAATCGCTGTAGAGCGAAAACGTCATAAAGCAAAATTTAAAAAATCCATTGAAATGCATTAAACCCCAGTTAATGTCTTCCAATGGGCTAAAAACTCACCGTCCAGCGAAGATCCTCCATATGGCGGCCATTTTCGGTGCCTGTATAGCGAGGAATCCGTCCCTAAGCACATCGGGGAGCTATTTAGAGCATCCGGCGGCCATTTTGAAAACCCGATAATCAGCTGTTTTGATCGTCGTACTGCGAAGAATCGGTTCCCGAAGCAGGGAACCGATCTTCACAAAGCAAAAAAACCCATTTAGACCATCGTTTTGCGATCGCAATTGCGATCGCAAAAACATTGTCGTGAAGCGGATTCATCATAATGCGGGGTAATCGTTAAGCGGGGCACGACTGTACTTTATTCCGTCATATGTTTAACCTTCGAGAGGAATCTCAGGACTTCCTGGAAAGAGACTTCAGAAAGCCCTACTCTGCAGTTATTGTTAGATGGGTACCACAACATGTTTTTTTCCCTTTACAATGGAGGAACAAGCAGTAGGATCCATGCACATTCAGACAGCTCCGCAATCATAACAAACCAGAAAGTTTATCAATCTTGATCATCACCTGTACAGAGTTTTGCTTGGTGTCCTCCCCCCCCGCACCATTTCTTGTGAAGACGACAGAAAAATTGGGCCATTCAGTCTTTCAGATTAATGAAGTAGTGTATAACCTCTGTAGTTCAATTGTTCTCAAACAATAAAACATGTTCCTGGTTTTACGGCCTATTCTGTTTCGATTTATACCCTACAGTAATAGCTTTTGACTGAAAAAGCTACTTGTTCTATTCCTCAACGGGTGGGCGGTGGAGGGGGGGGGAAGAGTGTATCCTAAGACCATGTAAATTGGACAGTGAGCCTGGAAGTAAAATAAAAATAAGTAATGAACTATATAAAACCTTAAATTACCCAAAGAAAACATTCAAATTGTTAACAGCGTGTAGGAATATTTACTTGTGGCTCTATTAAGAACCGCCGGCAAAACCCATCATAATGAGAACAGCTTGTGAGAAGACAGAACTGCCCACCAGAAAGTATTTAACTACTCTGAGTTATAAAACAACGTTTCTTCAGGTAACTGCAGGACCAGAATCTGTGTATTACATTCTTGGACAGCTGCCAGGGCTTCAAGCCACATCTGGAGCCTCCCCAGAGCTGCCATTTGGAATGCCCACACCTCCCCCGAGTGAGAAAAAAAACATGGGCATTGTGAGGAATTAGAAAATATAACGAGATGTAAGGATGTGTCACTGGAGACCAAGATCGAGATCATCCACACTCTTGTATTTTTGATCACCGTGTATGGGTATGAATGCTGGACAGTGAAGAAAGCTGATGGGGGAAAAATGGATTCATTTGAAATGTGGTGCTGGAGGAGAGCTTTCTGCGTACTGCGGATGGCTAGAAAGATGAACCAGTGGGTCCTAAAACAAATCGAGCCTGGACTATCCCCTGGAGGAAAAATGTTGAAACGGAAACTGTCCTACATCAGGCGCATCACGAGAAGGCAGGATTCTCTGGAAAAGACAATACTGCTGGGAAAAGTTGAAAGCAGCAGGAAAAGAGGAAGACCCAATATGAGACAGATTGAATCCCTAAAGGAAGCCAGTGGCTTGAGCTTACAAGGGCTGGTTAGGGCTGTTGAGGACAGGATCATTTGGAAATCGCTCACTTGACGGCGTAGAACAACAAATTGCAAAGTATAAAAATGGTGTCGTCCAAGTCCACTTGGGTTGATGATGAAGCCAAGAGAGCCACAAGGAGAACCACCGCATACCTCAAGTTGAACCTAGATAAACAGCACACTGTTTTCACACTGTCCTGTGCTTTTTAACCCATTCCTGCACCCTTTAAAATTCAGCCTAGACCAAGAAACAGCCATTTCTCCCCCACGAGTTGGGAGTCGCAGAGGTGGTGCATGTGAACGACACAACCTCACGGGGTGCAACAAGTAATCCAGATGCTGTCATTTTCAATTACTGCAGAGGGCGCTCTTCACCCTAAGTCTCCCCAGATCACTGACAGGAAGACACAGGCAACAGTTTTATGGGGACACGAAGCTACTTCGTCCTGAACGACACCACGGGTTCATGAAACCTATATGGTCTACTACAGGGTATCAAACCTGTGAACCACCAGGACTTGCTAGATACAGTTCCTATAATCTATGACCTAGCAGGTAGATTCTGGCCTTTCTAATTCAGGGAAGGTAACTTTCCCCATCTCCACAAAGGATTTACTCAGCCATTTGGGGTACAGTAAATCTGCCAGCCTGGATGCAGCAACTTTACAGAGTAAGACACCGAGGACACAACGCGAAAACTACAGATTACATGGGAAAATGTAGATGTCTGGAAAACCATGGAAGAGAGTCCCTGCTAAGCTCTTTCACCATCTAAACTATAAATGGCTGGGATTCAAGCTCTCCCAAGGACTGCATTCTCCCCCAATATGCCTGACTGAATGTTAAGAACATCAGGAGAGACCTTTCTCTCAGTCCCACCACCTTCACAGGTGTATTGAGTAGGGACATGGGAGAGGGCCTTCTCTGTTGCTGCTCAAAGACTCTGGAACTCCCACCCACTGGAAACCAAGCTGGCCTAATCTTTGCTGTCCTTCCAGCTGGCCTTATCTTTGCTGTCTTTCCAGAAGCGGGCGAAGACCTTTCTCTTCAGACAGGATTTCCCTTAGTAACTGGCTGCCTGGGGGGCAGGAGGCAATTAAATGCATTGTCATACCTTACTGCTTTGAATGCGTTTTGGTGTTGCTTATGATTTTTGTACAGTATTTGTTTGATCCTTTTTAATATTTGTATACTCACCATAGTTAGCATCAAGACCTTTGGGTAGTGCCGACGGCACGGAAGTTAAATAAATAAATAAAATACTGTATGTACCTTGGGTACTTCTTAAAGTGAAATGCAGGGTAAAAATATTTTAAATGAATAAGTTTCTTGATGAGGTAAACGTATCTCACAAAAAAAGCAGTATGTGTGAAGATTAAGCAAAGGAACTGGCTAATTGAGAAAGGGTTAAGCGCTACCAACCCTTTACTGCTTCTTTATTCAAAACTGTATCACAGCAAATTCGCTTTGTATTTTTTTTTCTAAAAAAAAGGCCATTGGGGCTTCATTGCTATAATTAAAATTTCTCTTCGGAACAAGATGATATTGCCACGATTGTCAGAATTCATTAATGACAAGCCACTTCATTCCTCTCGAAAGTTCAGGACAACAAGCTTCGTTCCAAACAACCTCAACTGGAACAGGAAAAAATATATATTTCTGCTGTCTTGAAGAGATTTTGCCTGCTTTATTTGGCACGGGCTACTTTTTAATTCTCCTTCAAGCACAAACATTTTATACCGCCAGCGGCTTTTCCCTGATTCCTCTCCTTGTGGCAAACACAACTTGCCCGGTGCTTTGCATCAGTCACTCATTCTTGTTGCTGTTCGCTGAGTACAGATTTCTCAACTGCTGTGCCATGAAAGCTCTCAAAAGAGGTATTCAAAAGCGTAAATAAACATCCCAATTTGACACAACAGAAATAATTGAAATAGCAACTCAAAATTGTCAGATTCCAAACTAATCTTAACACAAACTCTTAACACAACAGCTTGGACAAAAACAGAACGTTAGCTATAAGAAGGTACAAGGAAATTGTACAGCCTTCCTCCGTTTTCTGTTCCACTTCACTTCCTTGTGTGCTCTCTTTTTATTTAACATTCCTGTCTAGAAAAGCAATGATGTCATCAAATGGTAAATGGAATCATTTGCTGAGCGGCATCCATTTCCTGTGATGTCACAGCAAGAGCCTGAGATAACAGGGCAGGCCCTTGTGATGCCACACGAGTGAATGCTTCCACTAAATGGTGCAAAATGGTGCTTATGTAAGTCAGTGACAATGCTGTGTAAACAGATATAAATTAAATTAAAATATAAATTAAAAGGCTGAGGCATGACCTCCGGGGACAGCCACCCTTGAACGGGCAAGGCAATGAAAGAAAAAGAAAAAAGGGTGCATCTCAGCATGTCTTAACAACATGCCTGAAGTTCTGGGAATGGATTCCTAAATTTAGGACAAATAACCTGGTCACATCTCATTGCCTGATTTCAGATCCAAAGTCTGAAACCTGAGAAGTGTCTTCCTGCCCCCAAAACATGAGCCTCAGGGCCAAAGCCCAAGATCTGGAAACCCTACAGAACCATTTTCTGAGAAAAAGAGGATGCTGATATAATTCATCAATCAGTTAAATACAATACAGTCATTGGAACAGTCTGTAGATGGTGCAAAAGGAAGCAGTCAATCTTCAAGGTGCCAGAACATTTTTGTCTTCTTTAGTTTTAATTTTAAAAATATGTTTATTTTGCTTTTGCCTATTACATCAGCACAGGCTAACATGGCTACCCCTTCTAAAACTGAAAAAGAAGGACTTTGTCCACCAGTGACTGAAATCCACTAGTAAGTTCCAACTTGGCATGGAATCAGTGGGATTTGGTGAGTCAGTTCCTCCAGAGGTTCCACTGATTCAAAGGGGCCTACTCTAGTTGTGACTTGCTACTGGATTTCAGCCAATGAATGTAAAACCAGTCGCCAAATACAGAGGATGAACTCTCCACGATGCCCCCAAAGACAGATCACGATGCAAAAGATGATGGTATGCAAAAACGTTGTCTATCTGCCTTCCTTCCTTCTACTATCTACACCAATGGTTCTTAACCTTTGTTACTCAGATGCTTTTGAACTGCAACTCCCAGAAACCCCAGCCAGCACAGTTGGTGGTGAAGGCTTCTGGGAGTTGCAGTCCAAAACTCCTGAGTAACCCAAGGTTAAGAACCAGTGATCTACACCAATGGTTCCCAAGATGTTCTTGGACTAGAACTCCCAGAAATCCTGGCCAACCCAGCTAGTGGTGAAGGCTTGTGGGAGTTTTAGTCCAAGAACACCTGGGGACCTGAGGTTGGGAACCACTGATCTTATACCATCAAAGAGAAGGCTTTGAAACTACACCTAGGATAGGAAAAGCAAGCAATAAAATCATTTGATACGTCCCGTTTTCCAACCCAAATCTCCCTCCTACATACTGCTTTGTTTCCCATTGCCTGGGAAAAGGTAGAAGGTTTTAATACATTTATTTCTACAGGAATAAAAGACGTCCAGGAGGGCAATTCTGCACAGGCAAATTAGCAAGAACAGAGAAGGATCAAGCAACATGTGCTTTGAACATTTGCCCAGCAGAATCGGGAAGTTTTCTGTCTCTGCCTTTCAGTGAAATAAAACACCCAAGCCGAACGCATCTCCCGTGCATCCTTTGGTTTAGCCCTGCAGGGTTCATCTTTATTACAATAAATGAAATCCGATTTCTAAAGCAATTTGTATGCTGAAGAAATGCTCTGGACATTAGCAGGAATAAGATATGCTAGATGTGGCAGAACACCCATAGTGACAGAAGCAGGCTGTTATCTTATTTCTCCGATGGGGGAGAGGATCACCCAGATACATTGCTGAGCTTCCAATACTAGTAAAGCAAAATGGGGATGGTGCCTAAACATGGAATTCCCTTCCTTGTTCATCACTGACCCCAATAACCCAATAACCATGCATTGTTAGTGACATGATTGCTGGCTGCTTATCATGGCAAGCATCAACATTCTTTTGTTATCTATATAGTCCACATACAGCTGTTCCTATGATCTCAGATCAGTGGCTCCCAACCTTGGACCCTTAGAGGTTCTTGGACTAAAACTCCCAGAAGCCTTCATCACTAGCTGTGCTGGCCAGGATTTCTGGGAGCTGTAGTCCAAGAGCAGATGTATCATGGGGACATGGAGGCAAGCTCACTGCTGCCTCCCAAGGAGACCTAGAGGACCTGTTAAAAAGGGGGACAGGGCCATTTGCAGACATTTTGCGACCTCTGGGAAAGGTCAAGATGATGCCCCCAGAAGATAATGGGACTGCTCTCTGAATCTTGCACCACCTTTGCAAGTGGAGACCCATTCTCCCCCTTAGCCAGGCTACCTTGGCGGAGGGGGCATACACATAGCCATATCAGCCAGGAGAGGGAAATAGTCAGAAGACTCAAAGCAGTAGCAATACTTTAAAATGTTGCACTTTTTTGGGGGGGATTACCATTGTGAGTTCCTTTCTGCACTACAACTCCCAGTCTATACCAGCCAGCAATGAATGAATGAATGAATGAATGAATGAATGAATGAATGAATGAATGAATGAATGAATGAATGAATGAACCTTTTTCAAGCTCTGGGAACACTCAGCGTACTACTGAGTCATTTTTCTCACTCTGCCTATTGGGAAGAGCCGTCCAAGAGGGTGTTTACACAGAACACAATGCAGGTCAAAATCCGAAGCGCTGAAACACACACTAAAAACAAGCCTTCCAACTCCAAGACACAAAGAAGGCAAAGAGCAATGGAGGTTTTGCATCTCCGGGCTCCAGCTGTAATAAATTCTTGGGTAGGTTGTTACCGGACAAGCATGCTGTTACCCTGGAGCTCTTTTGCACATGGTTTGAGAAATATGCCTTTATTGCTGATGTAACACCCACCTATCCTAACTATAATAGCAAGTAATGTGATCATTGCCCTTGGCGGCACCATTAAATTGGGCAGTGAACTGCTTCAAATAACTGTGAGTGTTGTGCGTTGGTACTGTCTTAAGGAGCTTGCTTTTAAACAGCCAAATGCGTGCACCACAGTCTAGCCAAACATAAAAAGCACCTTTAAACTTAATTTTGTGAAATGTTAATGACCAGAACAAAGTATAGGAGCCCCCCCCCAAAAAAGGGAGGAAATTATTTCAACAGATGAAAGGAAACAGTAAATTAAAACTGCAGCTTTTAAAGAGGTGTTGTCATGTATCTCTTTAGGAAAGTGTTGTTAGTTAAGGGGAGCGTGAATATCTTAATCTCTTTTCTCCTTACTTTCTCTTTTTGAGAGTATTTTCATGCTCACACACTCACACACTCTCTCACACACACACTGAACAAGTGAGTGCTTTGAAAAGCTTTCTGGGATAATAGCCCCTTAATGTTTTCCAAATATCTATTTTCCACAGTTCTAGTGATAAATAAGAACATGTTGTCACCGAGCCAGAAGAGAAGAAGAAGAAGAAAGGCAGGATAAAACAGGTATTGTTTCATGTTCTAAATGATCAAGAAAAGAAAGTATAACTGACACTTACACAGAAATGCATTGCTTTTCCCAAAAGGGAAATATTTACATGTCTTTTGACTGTGAAATATTTATACAGAAGCTGCAAAGGAAGGAACGAAAGGGCTGGGATCAGGGAACAGGGAAGGGAAGTAGAGGAGAGCGTCCTACGCTTATTGCTGCTACCAGGTGGTGCCCCTCGAAACTCAGGAGGAAAGCTGACCAATGTTACCTAGAAGACAATTTGGTCAAGGCTTTTCAGTAGGAGGAACCCTATAGGCAGGAATCATAGAACTGCCATAGGGTTGGAAGAGACCTTGGAGGTCTTCTACTCCAAAGACCTAAGCGCTGGAACACCTAAGCGCTGCCGTCCGACTACGTTTCAGGTTGTATCCTGATACTGTGGAACGTGACAGTATGCATCCAGCAGGCTTGAGGCCAATAATTTCCAACATTTTTACTTCACAAGAAGAGCTGTGTCAAATAATATAGGGTAGAGAATGAGGATGCTTCATTAGTCATTACTTAATTTGCTTCCCACTCCATAAAGTCTGGTTCTTCTGTTCTCAGCCCCTGGGACCGAGGAGCTTGAGATCTTTAAAAAAATAATAACAAAATAATAATAAAAACAACAACAAACAATAAAAGCACCTCTCAGTGGGGAAAGCACAGCCACCTGTGAAAGAGTTTTCATAATTTGCTTTGGTTCATGAAAACCATCAGAACAGTAGCAATGGTAAAGGCTACAGTGAATCTCACAGTTGCCAAGTTGTCACTGTATAATATTCCTAGCCTTGAATACTTTAAGAACAACGTTGTCAGAAAAGTGGCTTTTGGCAGCCAGGAGATTCAAAAAATTGTAAGATTTTGTTTTGTTTTGGTTTTGGTTTTGCTGCAGTTGGCAATCTCTACATTTCATTTGTTTCAAAATTATTATTTTTTTTTAGGAGGGTGGGAAATGGGAAATTCAGTCTTCCACAAAAGCAGCAGCGTCATGAGAAAACTTGGGACTTTAAAAAAAAATAAGGGAGAGGGAAAGTTCTGTAAACGCTGCATTTTCAATATTGGAGTGTCAGTCTTCATTCATTCCCTGACAAGGCTGTCAGTCAAACTGCAATCGAGTTTTGTCAAGACTTTAACCAAAGATCAAAGCCATGATACTGCTGAGTTCACATTATCTTCCCAGAGATAACGACGCAAAACGCTTTCATAGGCTACATCGATATTAACTTTGCTCCGGTCCATTCTTCCTGAGCAAATAAAGCGACACAATATTTCGGTAGCTTTCTGGGACCCTGCTGTTTTTCTGATACCAATGGATCTCTTTCATTTCCACTTTCCTTTCCTGCTCCCTGGCTGTTTCGCTTAAAACTATGTGCCCAGTCAGCCTGGCCTTCACACAAATGGATGACAATTAATGGAACAAACATTGAAAGAAATTCTCTCTCCCTTTCTCTCTCTCTGTCTTCCGCTCTCTCCCATGTGCCGTGTCTCTTTTTTGAAATATATTGAATGTCCTTTATTCAATAACAATAGTTTGGCAATAAAAAGATGAGTGAGCAAAAATGCAGTATATCATCATTTTGCTTCTGACTTTAGCCCAATGGCAAATGAAAGGCATCCAGAATCAATTCCAAGAAGCTAATAAATTCCACCGGTGAAAGCAGGGAAAATATAACTTTTGCAACCTCATCATCCAGCTGATTTGTAAGCAAAGCTACTTCTCATTGCTGAACAGTATGTCACCTACAGTTTCCACTTCCAAGTGGGTAATATAACATTTCTACAGAGCTTATATTCAGAGGCTAAACATATTTATATCTTCTTTCTCAAAACATATGTCCAGCTAATATCGTAGTAAAAATAAAAATGTTCCAGCAACAGGAAATAATCACATTGATTGCTATCAGTTATTTCTCCAAGTAATGGTGACAGCAAAGGTATGTCTGCAACACAAGGGTAATGCTGTGTGCTTTTTGAGCTCTGGAAGCAGATTAAAGTAGTTCCCCCCCCCTCATTTTTATTTTATTTTACAGTGGCTTTTACAAGCGACATCCAAATGAGATTTTGTTCTGCACATATAAACAACAGAGCTCAGAAAAGTTGCTGACTGGCTGGCTGATTGATTGATTGATTGATCAATCGATCAATTGGCTGATTTATACATACCCCACCTTTCTCCTTAAGAAAGAGCCAGGGCGGCTTACAACATCGAAACACAATATTTAAAGCTAAAAACGGTAAGCATACAAATACTAGAAAGAACCAGACAAATACCATACTAAAAAACATAAGCAACACCAAAAACGACATCCATCCATTTAAAAACCCCTCTCAGGCAGCCAGTCATTCAGGGAAAACGTGCCTGAAGAGAAAGGTCTTGTGGAAGAAGAGGAAAGATGGGCCCAGTCTGGCCTCCAGTGGGAGGGAGTTCCAAAGTCTGGGGGGAGCCACAGACAAAGCCCTCTCCTATGCCCTCACCAAATGCTCCTGTGAAGGTGGTGGAACCGAGAGGAAGCCCCCCCCCCAATGATCTTCTTAACCCCTGTGTATAAAGGGAGGCACAGTCTTTGAAACAAATTGTGTGAAGGTGGTGGAACCGAGAGGAAGGCCCCCCCCTGATGATATTCTTAACCCCTGGGTATAAAGGGGGTTACCCATGTTGTTTAGGGCTTAAGTCTACCAGTGACCCTATCAGGTGGTGGATTCTGGGAGATGTTGTCCAAAAAAATCTAAGTTATATGAGGTCTGATGAGGTCACCAAAGGCTTATAATTTTGCATGTGTAAATATGAATGTTTTTCCACACCCCTCAGCTTGGTTTGGTTGCCATGTTTAAGCTATCACTGTGGATGGATTAAGGGCTAAGTGGCCTTTTCCTCCCCACCTATCTTTCCATGTCTTGCCTTTCCATCTGACATGGAGCATAACCATGTATTGCCTTGTAGTCAGCTAGCTCCATCAGCTTCTTTGTCTCTAGATCACAACTGGAAACTCTGTTCACCGCACGGTTACCAATTTTGGTTTGAGAGCAAATTAAAATTCACACGGACCCATAATTTGCTGGATTTAGACGTAATGAGAAAGTGCTACGAGAAATAAAATAAAAAATAAGTGAAGATCACCAGTGCATGCAAAGAAGAAGGGAAGGGAACATGTAAACATGGGTTACATCTGAATGACCAAAGATGGTTTTCTTATGATAAAGGAGATGAAGATGGTATACATGATCCTTCTCAATTTGATCTGTACAAGAACTAGGTGAGATGGGTTAAGCTGAGAGAGACTGGTTTGCCCACAGTTTTCTCAGTGATATAGAAGTCTGAGTGTGTGTCTGGGAGGCCAAGAACATTGCTGTCAGAAGACTTCACTCTTTTAAGAGTCCAGACTCCTAGCATAGCTACTTAAAATGGAATGGCCAAAGCTGAGATAAGAGGCCAAGATGCAGCCGTCCTCGTCAGGATTAATGGTGCATCAGCACAAGAGAACTGGCAACTCCAATGGCAATGTGGTGATTAAGTTTTTGAAGGGCATCTTAGTTTAGTTAGTTTAGGCATCCTTCAGTCTCGAGAGACTATGGGAACGTGCTCTGAATGGAGGATTTGGAACAGTGTCTAGTGTGGCTGAGAACGCCAATTTGAAAGTGACCATCCCTTCCACACTGAAGATAAATACAATCTATCCCCTGTCCAGCTCCCTGATTTGGCTGGTTTCGGGACTGTCTCTTTGCCTTGGCCTGCTGGACAAGGGTTTCTTCAAATTGGGAGAGGCCATGATGCACCGCCTGCCTGCAGGCTGAACGCGCAGAGGTCAGGGTTTCCCCATCTGTTGAGGTCCATTGCTAAGGCCTTCAGATCCAGCTGTGGTCTCCCCCTGGGGCGATTTCCCTGCACTAATTCTCCATACAGGAAATCTTTTGAAATCCGACCATCAGCCATTCCTAAGCAGCAATAATGAAAGGCGGTGATGTAGGATCTTTCAATGGCACTTAAGCTAACTTTTATTACCACTGCGCAGAAGAAGGCAGTGGTAAACCGCTTCTAAATATTTCTTACCTTGGAAACACTATTATGAGACAATCCAAAATAAAACAAGAGATAGTGCTGCAAGATGAGATTCCCAGTTCTGAAGGTACTCAATCAGCCACTGGGAAAAGGACAAGCATAACCAGCCCTGTCACATATGAATCCACTAGAACAAGCAATTTGAGAAGTATGAATCAAGATAAACTTGAAATCATAGAAGAAGAAAGGGAATATTTGAATATTGCAATACCTGGGGTAAGCAAACTAAACTGAACAGGACATTTTCAGTCAGAGAATGACAAATAGTTTTACTCTGGAAATGACACCTTGATGAAACAATGTTGCTCTAATAGTAAGACAAGAAGTAGCACAAGCATTTAAGGGCTATAATGCAAAATCTGACCAGTAATATCAATCAGACTTCCTGGAAAGCGTCTGAACCTAACTATCATCCAAGTCTCTGCTCTAACAGAGACTGCAGATGCTGAAGAAGAAACGAGAAGCTTTTATGCACGTGCTGAGGAAGAAATTAATCACGCCTAAAGAAGAACATCCTGATGGTTGGAATGTTCAACAACGGAACAGACTGACTCAGGAGGTGGTGGATTCTTCTCCCTTGGCGGTATTGGATGGCCACCTATCGGGGCTGCCTTAGCAGTAGATTGCTTGCTTCTTCAGGACTGGTGGGCTTGATGGCCCTTGGGTCCCTTGTAGTTCTATAGCTCCATGATTCTATGTCAAAAATACTGTAGCAGGTACCAAAAACAGGTGGCTGAAACCTAAGGCTTGGGAACTAAAGCAGAACCAAACACTGCAAAAGTAATAGGCCTAGGGGTCAGAAATGAAGGAGGACCACTCGCCTGAATTTTTCAAAGCCAACAATCTGTTCATTCCAAACGCATGCTCCAAGCTGCTGAACATCTGAGAGGAGAATAACTAATTCATCTGAAATGT